CTCGGCCGCCCGGGGCTCCCACAGGCTGCTGTGCCGGCTGCCACAGAACTGTCAATCAGCACCTGGCCACTCCCCCTGCTGGGAGCCACACCCCCTCGGCAGGGTGGGGCTCCCACGGGCTCCTCTCCCACAAAATGTCCCACACCTTTCCAGGTAGGGCACGGGCACTGCAGCCTCACCCACCCACACAGAGGGGTGTGGTCACAACAGGCCCCACCCAGCTGTCCCCACTCACCTGGCGCTCAGGATGCCCTGGTAGAAGTCGAGCTGGCGCATGAAGCCGGGGTTGGGCAGGACGCCGGGCCGGCAGTGCCGGACGTGCCGCAGCGCCCGCTCCAGGGGCCACCCGAACTCCTTCATGGCGTAGGCCAGCACCGTGGCGGCCGAGCGGCTCAGCCCCATGCGGCAGTGCACCAGCGCCCGGCCTCCTGCCGCCCTGCGGCCCCCACCGCTGGCACCACGGCACCGGGCACTCGGGGACATCGTGTTCGCTGGGCTCCCGGTGTCCCCGAGGTGTCCCAGTGTCCCCAGAGCTCCCAATGTCCCCGAGGTGTCCCAGTGTCCCCAGAGCTTCCAGTGTCCCCGAGGTGTCCCAGGATCCCCAGGATCCTCCAGCCATCCCAGTGTCCCCAGAGCTCCCCATGTCCCCAGCTATCCCTGTGTCCCCAGAGCTCCCAGCATCCTCCAGCCATTCCAGTGTCTCCAGGGCTCCCAGTGTCCCCAGCCACCCCACTGCTCCCCAGCATCCCATGCCCCAGCACCCCAAAACTTCTCCCTGTGTCCCCCTCTCCCCCACCCCACCTCCAGCCCCTGTGTCCCCAGTGTCCCCCGTGGTGTCACTGACCGGACGCGGGAGAGGAAGAGGAAGGTGTCGTTCCAGTGGGGCAGGAGCTCGGCCGCCTCCTCGTCGTACACCCGCACGTTCATGTACGTGAACAGCGCCGGGAAGAAGTTGTCAATCTCCCGTGCCACATTCAGGATGTGGGTGACCCTGTGGGGACACGAGTGACACCCCAGGGGTGGCCTGTGGTGACCCCACGATGGTGTCACCCCACGGCGGTGCCACGCTGTGCTCACCTATTCTGCTGCAGCTCCTCCAGGTTGGCTGCGTTCCACTCGGAGCCCTGCGTGGTGACANCGTGACGCCCTCCTGGAGCACCGCGACAACCCCGATGTCGCCTACAGGTGGGTGTGGGATGGGGAGGCATGGCATGGGATGACATGGCATGGGATGCCACCTGCCCTCCCCGCTGACCCTGCTGTGTCCCCACAGCCTGTGGCACGAGTACGAACTGTGAGCGGCTGCGCCAAGGGAGCAGAGAAACAATTCCCGACACCCCCAGACCCTTTTGCAGGGACCCCGGGTGGATTAAAGCTGGTGTGAGCGAAGGAAGGGGTGCCGTGTGCTGTCTGGGGGGCACGGGGTGGGGTGAAGCCCTTGGGGTGCAGGGGGAGGGCAGGGAGTTGCATTCCCCCCAAAAAAAAGCCAGGTGGGGTGTCCATCTCACAGTTTGATGTCACTTAGCTGGGACTCAGGGAGAAAAATGTGTTCTTGGGTGGAGAAAGGGAGGTGGGATTTTTTCCCCCAGGAATGGGGTGAAAAAATGAAGAATGAGGTATAAAATCAGCTGAAAGTGAGCTCAGGTGGCTGACGATGGTGGGGATGTCCTGCAGCGAGGTGGGAAGAGTGTCCTGTGGGATTCATATGTTTAATAGCCCAAATCAGCAGCTTTGCTGTGTGCAGAATCAAAAATAACAGGATGTGTCTGTTAATTATTCAGGTTATCAATGACTTAATTCACCAGCTCTTTCTGTTGTTTCATCAATAAAATAAATTGTTTCTCTCTGTGGTGGGTCTAGCTTTGATTAAATGCTACTGCACCCACTAGAATGTATTTACTTATTTTTTGTTGATTGTTTTGGCACTTTTTATCAGCTTTAATTTTGGAGATATGGATGTTTATATGGTGGACTTTTATAGATAGTTTTTTATCTTGGTAGTGATGTTTTTTTACTTTTTAGCAGTCTTAATTGTTTTTTTTTTAATGCTGCTAATTAGTCTTTTTAAATTTTTCTAGCTATCCTCACAGAGTAGTGATTACTACTTATGAATTAGTGTAGAGATAGGGTTTTGGCTGCAATGGAGCATTGGAGCCAGCAGTAATTTGAGATGAGGTGGGATAAAGTGGGATGGGTGGGGGGTCACTCATAACTCCCATCCCACTTGCACTGCAGGCTCCTGACTCTCTGGATTGCATTATCCAGCTGGATCTGGTCCTGCTGTTGGACCTGCAGTCACATGGATATCTTCTACAGACAGGACATAATTCCTCTGCTGGGCACAGGATGCAGGTGTTTAGGTGGACCCCCCAAAAATAAGCATCCTACACCCAGCCAGCCAAGGGCTGTGCCCTCCTGGTGGGAAGAAGGAGGGAGATTCTCACTCTCCTTCCTTGGCAGAGGCTCAGTCCCAGCCTGTGGGTGTCCCAGGAAAGGGGGAAGTGTCTGGGATGGCTCCAGCTGCAGGAACAGCCCTGGGAGATGGAGATGGACAGCAGCAGCCTCAGGGGCAGTTTCCCAGTTTCCAGCCAGGAGCCTCCTTCCCTGGGAGGGTGGGTTTAGCTGGGATTTTGGGAAGAAATTCCTCCCTGTGAGGGTGGTGAGGCCATGGCACAGGTTGCCTAGAGAAGCTGTGGCTACCTCAGGCTTGGGAGTGTCCAGGACCTGGTTCAATGGAGCATGAAGTAACCTCGCCTAGTGGAAGGTGTCCTGTGGGCCAGAGGTGACAACATGGAGGGACACCATGGTGGGAGGGGGCTGACACCATCTCAGGGGGTGGCGGGGGCAGCACCTGGCTTTTCCCTCCCCCACGGCCACAGCGAGCTGCGGGTTCTCTGTGTGCTTCAGTCCTCGGGACTGCCCCTGTCTCGCTTCCAGCCCCAATTCCATCCCCGGCCTAGGCCGCGGCGGTTGCCATGGCAACCCGGAAGTTGTGCTCCTCGCGCAAAGGCCGCCGGGAGTTGTAGTTCCTCTGTGCCCCACAAAATGGTGCCGCTGGGTCCCTGTGCCCGCCCGGTGTCCCCAGAGCGTTCACTCCGGTCCCTACCGACAGCAGCCCACCCTCCAGGTGCTCAGGGTCACAAAGCCACCAGGGGCTGCCATTTCCACGCTTTATTGCCAGTGCAGGAGCAGTGTCGGTGTTTGTGTGCGTGGGGCTGGGGCAGAGGCACGTCCCAGCCCCAGGGTGCGGGCGGGGCCTGGGCGGGGCGTTCCTGCTCGCTGGCCACGCCCCCAGAAGTAGACCACACCCATCCCCTTGTTGCTATGGCAGTGAGTAGGTGCTGTCTCATGCCCCCCAAATTAAGGCGTGGGTTCATCTGTGTGGGCGTGGCCAGGTGCATGGGTGTGGCCATGGGTGTGGTCATCACTATGGGTGTGGTCATCACTAGGGGTGTGGTCACAAAGAGGGGCGGGGCCACCATCCAGGCTGGCCTGGCGCACCACGCGGCGCGGGCGGGACGAGGGTCGTAACTTCGGGCAGGGACCCTCTGCTTCCTCCGTGGCCTCAAACACCTGACAGGGGACAGTGGGGTCATGCCATGCTGCTGTCACCCCACAACTGGACCCCCATTCTGCCCTGACCCCCACTCACCTCCCCGGCCAGGGGCTCCCCCAGCAGCTCCAGGGGCTCGGGGTTCTCCAGCAGGCTGATGCTCCGCATGACAGAGCACAGGGAGATGCGGGGGCGCCGGGAGGCCCCCAGCAGCCCCCCTGCAGCTGCCTCCTCCTCGGAGGGCTGTGGGGACGCCAGCAGGGAGCACAGCGGGGACA